TGTTTTGTGGTTTAAAACTTCCCTTGAGTATTTTTTTAATGGAGACGGAACATTTCATCCATGCCAACCCTTAGGAAGCTTGATGGGGAAGTACTGCATGTCTATACAGAGGCCCAAACATGAAAAGCTCTAGTGTTTTTTCCAGTAAATGTACATTTCCTGGGTATTTCTTAGAAAATGTCCCTAACGATAGTGGTAAACCTCTAATACTTCTGCTTACCCATACAGGTCTGAGTGATGACTTGTTTTTGTGTTGTTTGGTATTTTTGGGAGTAAATTCTTCTTTTACCAGCTGGAGATGTGGGTAACACCATGTCCCAGCTTGGCTTGGCCCAGTGTGCCCTGTGTGTGGGATGAGCACAAAGAATTGTGAGCTTGTGGCGAGTGTTTCCTGAGTCAGCTGTGATCCTTCTCTCTCTCATCCCACCCCCGGCGGTCTAGTTCCTTCTGACAGATCAGTAGCAGCTGAGAGAGTGCTGTTTGGGTCTAACCGGGAAGTGGGGGTGGGCGCCATCTGGATCATGTGACTTTGGCCACCCTACCCTCACCTTTGCTTGCAAGAGCACCAGGCGTCCTTATCCAATCATGCCTGGAATGCAGCTTGCCACTTGGGCTATTTCTGCTGTCTGTCGCTATCGGACTTCAGCTCAAACAGTTTGACACATGGGATAGTTTTTTTTCTTCTTCATTTCCCCATCTCTCCCATTCTTTCCAGCTTTTACTCGCTCTCTCTCTCTCTCTCTCTCTCTCTCTCTCTCTCTCTCTCTCTCTCTCCTTGAAGTTTGTGGGTTGAAATTTTAAGCTCCCTGGCAGCGCTTCACTGGTAGCTGTGAAACGAAACGCAGCCTCTGTCTGTGAGTAAGGGAAAGAGAGAGAAAGAAAGGAAAGAGGGTGGATGAGCAAGACGAAGAGGGGGAGAGCAAAAGGGGATCAGACACACTAAACAGTGGGTGAGACAGATCCAGCAAGAGCTGGACAGAGACAGATCAAGGCAGACGGGAGAATGTCTCACCGGCTTCGGCTGTATTTTGGATCGGGTCGCAGTAATACTGCACCAGAGTTGGAGCGGCTCAATGGGACAGTGGAGGACGGAGATGAGATTGGCCACAGCAGTGCAGGGGCTATGATGTTCCATACGCAGACTCAAAACGGAGGACTTTCAGATAGCCCGGAATCGGGTGCTTGTTCGGATGCCTCTCTAAAGCGAAGCTCTTCCATGTTCATCCCACAGCTCCAGGGTCAAACTGAACCACGGATGACCAAGAGCACCTCTGTCCAGATATCTCTTCAACGCTCAACTGCACCTCAAGAAGACGCATTGCCCTTTGATCCACCTCCAGGATACCCTCAGGAGCCAGCTCCTGCATACACTGAGACTGGTGAAAGCTGGCCCTTACCTCCACCTCCAGCTTACCACAGAGGAGATGCCCCATCCTACCAAAATGTGGAACCAGGTACTGAGCCTATCCAGCCTAAGAGGCAAGTATTTTGCATCCGGCCATGTGATGGACAAAATGGTTATGCTAGTTTGGGTGTACCCAATAATCAAGGGATCACCATTGGAGGTTTCTGTATTCGAAGAAGATCCGCAGATGGCTCGGATGTCCAGCAGTTCAGGATCATGCCATACAGTGAGAATGGCCAGAATGGCCACAGTTGGTCTGTCCAGCAAAGCTCAGACAGAGGTCCTGGAACTCAAAGACTTGTCTTCCAGCTTCAACAGGACCAAGGAAGGCACCTTAGCCCTACTCCTCAGACTGACGTGAGTGATTTGGGCATCACAGGTACGAAAGGCAGCCGCTTGGTGCGGTACCCTCGGATCCGACTTGAGAGGAGCTCTTCACAGCCGTTGCATCCCAGAGGAGCTCCTTCCCGTCTCGGATCTATGCCAAATCTTCATGCCCCGATCTCAGAAATGGAGACTGAGAGTGATATTGTTGAGAACGGTGCTCAAGGTTGCACATTCAAAATTAGGAAGGAACAGAACTCCCGACAGCCCAAGTTTAAGATCTATTTCAGCCAGGGAGGCGAGCACGGCCCCATCCTTGCACAGGATATTAGCTTTGGAAAGGTGCCTACCTGCAGCAATCCACAGGTAATTACAGCAGAGGGTCTAAAGTTGAGCTTGAAAATGAAGCGCTTAATTTTTTGTACATTAACAAGCCATTGTTTAGTTACCTAAAGTACACTGTAGGGTGTAGACTTCTCAAAGTGTGTTTTAATAGTTTGTTAGTGGCTGGAGAATGGGAAAAACAGATGAAAGAAGAGGTAGCAGGATTTTGGTTGAGGAAAAAGGAGGTGGGTTCAGGAATGACTTACCCACATTCTGGGAAGTGAAAATTCCACAAAAATGGGGGCCAAGAGCAAGACGTAACCACACTGTCTTTAGTTTCCCAACAACCATACAAACTCTTATACTCAAGATATTCAAGAAGTGGAAAATATATAGAAGCCAGAATCAATTTCAGATGTAACTTCATTCATGGGGGCTTGTCCACTTGTGTTTTTCCCCCTCTCTTGAAGAGGTGCCTGTTCTATCTTTAGTCCCGTGTCAAGTGTTGTTGTTGGTTTTGAAAGCGGCCTTTCTCATTTGGCCTGGGTCACCGTTTATCTCTTGTAACAGCTGTTCTGTGGTGATTAAGGTCTAATATATAGTTACACATACTGCTGTTTTTACAGCACTTTGCTGAAGTGTTATTGCTCAAACTTAGAAAATGTTCATGCATCATAGTTATATTAAGCTCAAGGCTTTGTTTTCAGAGTTTCTCACATCTTAAGCATTTGCTTTTTCCAACAGTCCTCCTGGTACTTTTTATTTTGCCACATGTAATTTGTCATTCCCTTCAGGTTACCATTGCGTTTACTGGCTTTGAAAGTCCCTTCAGTGATTCATTCCTGGTTATCTTCGAAACCAATTTATCAGTGTAGTGCTGACACACTGTAAGTGTGTGACATTCATCAGTTTGTCACCAACCATTACTAGTACTAGAACTTACTAGTGCGCAGAAGTCATAACAGCATCTTTCCGATGGAATGTGGAAAGCAGGACTTCAGTTTCACTGATGTCGCACTTGCAAACGGAAGGTCCGGAATCTCTGAGACGTCCACATTCCGCAATCAGGAATGTCACACACATACCAATTTCCGAGGCAGCTAACGGCAGCATATATATTTCCAGTACCTGCTCAAAAGGCTTTACTGGAAATGAGTCAGTCAAGGAGCTGAATGTTCCAGCAGCAGAGCTCTTCATCTGAACCTCTCTCACACAGATCTGTTTACTTCTAGCTGTCAAGATTGCTCTTTTGAATGCCTCAAGCATGTATTTGTTGATGTATTTTATTAAATATTCTGAATTATCTCTGAAGTTAAGGCTTGTAATGCATTATAACCTGTAAAGTCCTTGTTTAGAAAGAATATACGCTCTTACAATACAGTTCTGTATCAGTACTTGTTTTTAATAAGATGTTTTGCTGAATTTACCAAATGTAATAACTATGAAATTTCATTCGTCACTTATTGTATTCATTCCCTGCGGGGTGCATGGGTTTTCTGTAGACTTGCCAGTGCTCTCAGGTGACTGTTTGCTGTCTCACAAGTTTTAGCAAGCATGATGAAGAGATGTGGGGGGAAATCTCACTTAAGTCTGCTGTGGCAGCTTTCTTACAGAGCTCAGGATTTAGAGCTTTAAAAAGTCTGTGTATGCTCATAAGTGAAAAAAGAAGAGTTTGAGAGAGTAAAAATTAGATTTAATGGTAGAGTCAAGCTCTGTCAGCATTCCCTATTGCTCTGGTACCTTGCTGTTGCCGCTCAGACAGGAACCCTGCTGCTAAATTTGTGGGGGCTCCAGTCTTATTTTAGCATCTCTGCGTGTTGCGGATCAGTTTTCGGAAGTTGTTTCTCAGGTCCTTTTGTCATAACCCTTGACCCTAAACTTTACGGTGCCTAGCTGTGTGACCTACAGCTTAACAAAGTAATGGGATCCTTTTTTCTTGCTTCCCTCCTTTTGATCTGTTGTTTGGTTTATTTAACCTTTTTTCCTTTTTTGTGTACACGTCTCTTTAAACATTGGTTTAGAATCTTAGTTCTCACTTCCCTGCTGTCTTGTTTTCTCAGTTTCTGCACTTTTTGGCCTCTTTAATGGCTGGAGTCATCTGTTAACTCAGCTTTGTAATGGACGATGATTAAGCAAATATTTATTTTTAACACTCAGTCAGGGCATTGTTTGGGAACGGGGCTTTCAGGGTCATAAAGACATGATATCTCAATGGTCTCAAAGTCGCTGTGAGGTTACAAGACATCAGTTAAATCATTTTTACTTCTTCAGAGCATCACTTTCTTTGCAGAAGGATTGGAAAATAGTTTCCGTAGTGACGGGAATCTTTGCCAAGACACAATGGATGTAATTCTTCTACAGTGTGACCTTTAAGATTCAGCTAGCTTCTTGAGCTTTCTAGGTCATTCCTTCATACCTTTGGGTTAATTAATGGCTTAATTTTGCTTCTGTTTGTGATTCACAACTGCTGTTGGTGGCTGTAACCCCATTTGGCTCTGAAATGCTTAACATTTAATCAGAGGAATGTCTCAGACATGGTGGGTTTTCCGTGTTGAATAGGGGCTTGAGAATGTATTTGTGGCCATGTCGTTCACTCATCACCACAAATAGTGACTCATACTTAACCTTTACACAATAAATGAGCTTTATTGTCCACCCATTCTGCTGTTCTGGTGCTCACTAACTGGGTTTAGGAAGAATTATTTAGTTTTAATTAGTTTTTCGTTTTGTTTTCACTTTCTGTGCTCTGCTTTGCTTATCAAGTGTGTTTTTGGACTCTTTTCAGCAATGTTGCTAAAGCCTTAGGATTAGTATTGCATTAATGTAATTTTTATTATGATGCATGATCATGGCGGTTCATTTACATTCAGTGCCCTAAACATTGTGCACCCCAAACTGGGGGTATGTACTCGTCCTTGTTGTCTTAATAAGTTTATTCCACACACAGGCTCACATTGGTCATGATCGGTCAAAGAATGGGCATTTCAACCATGGTCAGGTAATCTACTGGTCTACCGTGACCCAAACACCTGACAGTCACAGCTGACAATCTCACAGTTTGGCTTATTGGAATGGGTGGGTGGATTGAAGGCTTGTGATTGGCGGTTCATACATTAATACACTCCTGATGACTTTGACTTTTGACCTAGGGTTGTGCAATTAATCGCATGCGATTGTCATGCGCATCTCGTCTGTAAAGCCGGTTCCGTGATTGGTAGTAAATCGCCATCACCTGCTTTCAGATGGAGCGGCATTTACTACACAGAGCCGTAGTTCACTGACAAGCTAGCCAACATTGCGTTCATAATCGCAGATGAATCGCATTCGATTATGAACACGATGTTGCCTAGCTTGTCAGTGAACTACGGCTCCGTGTAGTAAATGCCGCTCCATCTGAAAGCAGGTGATGTAGATTTACTACCAATCACGGAACCGGCTTTACTGACGAGATGCGCATGACATTCGCATGCGATTAATTGCACAGCCCTATTTTGACCCTCGCTCATTGCCCATCTCCTGCTCTTCACTGGGTTGGTTGTCAGGTTTTTCCCATTTGAAGTGACGTTTTTGAAATTAACACTGCCCTTATTACTGTATTTCCTTCTTTTTCTCTTTCTCATACATTCTCGTTCATTCATTCTTCTTGGGTTATACAGGTGTGTATTTATCCTCATCTTTGTGGTTTTCCTTGCCAAGTCCTGCTAAAGTCAGCCATGTCACCAAGGGAGCGAAATCAGACGCGTTCGTTTTCTCAGACGCTTGCGGAAAAAGGCTTACCTAAACAAAGTGAATGGGTTCATCTTTTTCACGTTTCCTTGGTTGGTAGATGCACCAGGGACCTGATTATAGCACTTAAAACCTGGAAAAGTCAGATTTTCATGATATGTCACCTTTAAACTATTTCCAGTGGCAAAGTGAGATTTCTTTGCTGGATTGCATATTTAGGCTCGCACACACAGAGTCTGGTCTGTTTTCCTTGCGGCCGCCTACGTATCTACTGTTCAGTTCTGCGTGATTGCAGTCCAGACCACGCGCTTCTTCTCTGCCTGCTCTTATTGCTGAATATTTAAAAGCGGTTTCCTATACTTGGATCAGACGTGTATATATGGTTTTATATTTCCTTTGGAGTTGGTATATTGATTAAGCTACCTTGTGGATTTTTGGTTTAACTGGTTTTGAAATCTGAATACGTTTCACCTCCTGTTTGATCTAGACTTGCCAAACAGGAAAACTCTCCCGTTTTCCTTCAGGGCCTCCAGACTTTCCTCACATAGTTTTGGTTTCGGGCACTGGCAGAGGTGCGAATTCCATCAATTTCCATCAAATTGTAGCCACTAATGACCAGCTGTGAATATCCAACCTGTGGGCAGTTCAAATGTAACAGGAGAACAGTGTTACATAAGACAGCTGGACGTCATCCAAGGGTCTATATCTCCCGTTCTCCAACCCCCCAAACAAGCTGGGACTGTTATGCTTTGTAAGACTACTAAAATTGGGCCAGATTTGATACATGTTTGTTTATTTTCTGTGGTGTTTTGTTGATGTATAGACAGAGGACCCTGCGATGGAGCGGCCGTACACGTTTAAAGACTTTCTCCTGCGTCCAAGAAGGTCAGTGGTCATGCAGATTTCACAAATGCAATACAGGAACATTAGCAGTTATATTTAAAGTTAGAACAATGTTGATTTTGCACTTTGACCTTATTCAGAGGACTGGACGTTTGATATAATACAGCACATTTGAGATTTGTATGTTCTTTCGGAACGAAATGTGCAGCTACCACACGAACACCTGTGAATCCCCTTAATGCCCTGTGGCTATAGTTACAGCCAGAGATTTTACACAGGAACAGTTAATACATGTGGACTGCACTTTGCTGTATTTTTAATGTTATCCTTGATGACTCTACTTCACTGTAAACTATATTTTGCTATACAGTGATTCTTAAACCTTTTTTTTAAAACTATTTAGTTTATAGGCAAAATATTGGGGCTCTTAAAATATAAAAAATAACAATTAAATTCCTTCTAATTAAGGGCTTAACAAATTCAGTTACAGCTTATGTAAAGAATACAAAATATGTAAAAAAAAGAATACTAGTTTAGTATGCTCTATGATGACTTGTGTGATGACATGCTTTTATGTCCTGTAGCCATAAGTCTCGGGTGAAAGGCTACTTGAGGCTGAAGATGGCCTATCTGCCAAAAAACGGAGGACATGAGGAAGAAAGCAGTGAGATGAGAGAAGAAGCTGAGGTAATTAGCAAAAAGGATTTTGTATAATCTCAAAACAAAAAAAATTAAATGTTAATTTGTCAGGTTTTTCTTTCAGCAATAAAGGTAGTAAGAATTTTTATCGATAGATAATTTTTAAAAATATGACAAGATAAACTATATTAATAATACACTAACAATGTTTTTTTTTAATGTAGTAAATTGATTCTGACAGTCCAGTTTATCAACTAAATCATCAACTCGCTTATAAATGGACTAAAATGAATTAATATGACATGCTGAAATGTAAGTAAATGATTAATAAATTAGTTATTAATAAATAAATAATAAGGGCAGTTTTAAATTAAAATTATTTTAATTATCTTAAAAGATAAAAACTGTAACTGAAACTTGCCTTTTATTTCAGAAGAAATCATGTAAGTGGAATTGTAGTTGTTGAAACATGTAGATTTGCATTAGATGCAGAGATTACTCCAGTATTATAGACCATGGCAGATAACTGACAGATGGCTTAAAATATATTTTCTATCCAGAATGGAGACACACTTAAATGTCTCCTTTCTTGCTTTCTCTCCTGCTTTTTAGTGATTTTAGTGTCTATTCATCCTCGTCCCCACAGACTACATGGCATTTTTTCGTTTAAAGTATGACATTTGGCTTGAACCGTTTGACTGTCTGGCATTTCCTTCCTTTAACTTTCTTAGCTTCCTGTTCTGTGACTTTTATTTGATTTTTTTCCTCTCTGCTAGTGGAGAGTGCTGTGTCATAGCAGCTGCAATACTAATCATAACACATTAAGATGGAATAGGAGAAAGTATTTAACATTTAAAAAAAATTAGACACTTTGAGACTTTCAACTTTTGAAATGTTCTTGAAAACAACCTTGTCCCTAGATTTTTTGTAATGAACATTTTTGGTCCTAAAATACTAACATTTTGATGATTGTCTCACTCTCACTTACTCTCCTGTCTCTCACTTTGTTCTTCTCAGGGCTGGGAAGTGACAGACTCCACGGATCCAGGTTCACAGAGACCTCAGCAGCTCCTGCCTCCGCTGCCTCCAGGCTGGGAAGAGAAGGTGGATAACCTGGGACGGACATACTACGTCAACCACAACAACCGCACCACACAGTGGAAGAGGCCCAGTAGTGTGTATGTGACCCCTTTTGCCATTTATCAAAAAGCACATGAGCAAAAACACTGAAAAACTAAAATCAAGGATATTGATGTGATGAATTTATCATGATTTTCTGACAACCTTACCAGACTCTTATATGTGTGGAACACACTTTTTTTCTCCCTGTCTGTGCTTTAGGGATGTGGTTTCAGAAACGGAAAATGATAATCACTTGCGGCAGATTAACCAGGAAGCCCACAGAGTTTTCCGCTCTCGACGGCACATTAGCGAAGACCTGGAAAACGAGCAGCTGGACATCAGGGACATAGACGACGTTAGTATTTAACCCTGACCTCTGCACCTATGACGTGAGCTAGATAGCATCATTATTTTTGTGAAAAGTGTCTGGTTCAAAATAAAGCTTCTCACTGTGGTTAAAAATCAGAAGTTTTTACATATTTAGTGCCATTTTTTTATTTTATTTTTTTAAAATAAAAGCAGTATTATGTTAGGTTCTCATGCATATCTCCCCTTTTCCAGTCATGGGAACCCATATCAGAGGAGGACCCAACTTTAATGACGGACAGTCTGAACCATTCTCTGTCTGGACCGGCCTCTCTGGCAATGCCCCTCCCTAGCACTCCAGAATTCTCAGATGAAATCAGCCTTAGATTGTCTCTCGCTCCAGACACGAACGGAGAAATCCCAGGACCCAGCTCTGCTGTGGTAAGACAGAACAAAGTTTTAAATCTGCTGTCATCTATACATCTATATTCGAAGGGCCACAGACGGCGTTTTCGCACCGGAGGAACCCTTTCATAGTTCCTAGAACTATTACTGTGAGTTCTCTGTTTTTGGCGTTTGCACCGCAGGAACTAGGAATGTATGCATTTCTAGGAACTCCCATTTGGGGGAACTAATTAGCTCCTACTTCAGAGTAGGGTCTAAAACAGTTCTATAGGAACTACCAGTGACGCAGTGTATGCTAATTGGCCAAACGCATACGAAACACCGTCTACCCGGAATTTTTAAAAATCCTTGTAAGAATATTTACTCCACAAACATGGAAAACAACTCTAATGGCGTTTACCTGTTGCCTGCAGCGTTATGTTTTTTTCTCAGCCTTGATGATAACACTGTAAGTTGCCATAGGAGATTTAGTCAGATTTTCATGCTCTTAATCGTGCAATTTGTGCATTTACATTCCATCTCCGTTATCACAAACCCCACAGCACACAACAAAAACGGCTCCGATCATGGCGTCCTCCATCCACCAGTTGTTCACATTTGTAAATGCCACAAATAAAGACGTCGCTGTCGGCCGCTTCAGAGTTCCTGCTGCCAGTGCGAGTGCAACCAGGAAAACGGACTGAGGGGGAAATTGGTTCTCTAGGAACGACCCTGCTGGCTAGTTCCTGGAACTACGTGTTGCGAAAGCGCCTAAAGAGAATAAGAGACAGAGGAAAATTAATAACCAACTACTCTCTATATATACAAAGATAACCCCTGTTTGAGCATTTGCTTCAACATTTTCAGAGATGTGAGCTCTTTCAGTGCTTATAAGCCTGCCGAGAGCAGCCTTACCTCAGTCAGTTCTGGCTCTGATGTCTCTATAGTGGTTAAACATGGGCAACAATTCATTTTAGGTATATCTAACAGGCAGTCTTTGGTCTCATTAAAGTATTATGTGTTCCAGAGCAAATCGTTTTAAAGTTTCTTAACTTTATATTTTTATGTAACTAAAGCTGTATATCAGAGCACTGCCTTGGTACTTTTGACTGAATTGCTTAGCAACTTTTATGATGGCTATTGTTGTTTATTAAATATTTTTGTATGTATAATATTTATATAAATAATAGTAGTATATTAAATAGTATGTTTTTGAAAAACAGTCTGTGTGTTAGTGATTATCATTTTGTTGACATTGTTACACCATCAAGAGACTGTGAGTGCATCAGTAGCAAAGACTTTTATATTGAAAGAGACTGAAACAAGGTTATAAACTACATAATTTTTTCTTTCATCAACACCTTGTAAGACGCAACCAACAAATGCACTGACCAGCGTTGTCATGGGAAATCCCCTTAACAGTTGAAATGATACAATAACAAAGATATTGTCTTCCTCGGTGGACATTCAGGAAGTAGTTCAGCACACAAAAGGGTTTTTAAGACACTCTATGGTTGTTTCTTATTTAATTTTTTTTTACACATTTGCACAATCAAACTGTTGTATAAATGCAGTATCACACTTGTAGCTGTGTGACATCACATCTGAACATCTGAGTCATGTCACATCACATCTGAAATTATCAGGAAAAAAAACATAAATTGTTATTATGGCTCTATATCAGCACAGCTACTTGTGTGGGTATTATGTGCAATTTTCTTGAAATGGTGAGTCAAATTATGTTATTAATAGCGTCAAAACTAATAGCTGACTCTTCACACGTGCAGCTGTGTACACGCATGCTGAATCACTCACTGAGTCATTGTGGAGGCAGCGCAGTGGTCCTCTGTGAACTTCTGCAGAAAGGAGCCACTCACTTGGGAAAAATCTCTTACTATGGCTTTGTTCACACTGCACTTAAGACTGGATTGTTTTTAAAATTCAATCTTTTGGACTGAGTGGCTTTTGTGGTATTTGCAAGTAATGAAACTGGATAGTACATTGCTTATTTGTTCAGACAATGTAGTTTGCATGTCTAGATGAAAAACTGGAATAGACTCAGACAGAATCTGGTGTCTTGTTTCTATTTCTAATTGTGTTAAACAGACCTGAAGTTGCTACACTATTTTTTATTTTTTTGTGGCTGAAAGTATGGTCAAATTAGACTAATAAACAAAACAAAAAAAAAACAAGGGGCCTTGAGAGGTATAAACTGAAAATGTTGCTTCTGCTAATGCCTATCATGACAACTGCCTCAGTGTTGAATTCACAAAGTGTATCAGATACATAAGAGCCAGAGGCATTGCTGTTTTTACACATTCATGCATATGTGTTTGAAATCGCTTGATCGCTCACTCATCTATCATTCAATACATATTGAATAGCACATGTGAGTGTAGAGGAATTCAGATGGCTTTAGACACTACTGAATTTGGTCATCACATCTGAAATTATCAAGAAAAAAAACTACTTGAAATCATTGGCTGTAAAAAAAAAAAAAACGTTAAATATTAATTAAATCATGAAATATGAAATTTACAAAAAATACTTCAAAGCAGAATTTGTAAACAAAATATTTATTATTAAATTATTTCAATTCAATATTAAGTTTTCTATATTTCTTTTCAGATGCAACTAAGCCAAAAACAATCAGATTTTTTTTTTTTTTTTGTATGTCTGACTTTTTTTTGTGACTTGGCTGAATTCAGAACCTATGCCGTTCAGAGGACCACTTAGTCCAAATGGCCACTCTGAATGATATTAGATATTTATTTATAACAGTGTCTAATGCCTTTTTATCTCTTTCTCTCACTCCAGCAGAGTCATCTTTCCTCTCGGCTACGCTCCTCTAGTATGACCGATGGAGTCATTGATCAAGCTCAACCTCCCACACCAACGGTACATCCGCTTTTCTCCTCCTCACCTCTCCTTCACTCTGCATGTGGTGTTTTTTTCACTCACTCTCAGTACTATACAGTTTTTCACTCTTTCGGCGTCAAATCAAGAGCTATAAACTCCCTAACACATTCAGAAGTTCACCTGATTTCAAAATGTTCCTGTTGTCTGTAATGAACATCTTGGCTGCTTTTGGGAATGCCATGAATATGACAATAGGAATCTTTAGTAACGCTTTATATAATGCTTTAAAATCAACATGAAGTTAAAATTGACCCTGTTTACTTCATTAATACACATTCCTGACTTTATTGTAAATGATTAATCGGTTCCAATTGATTTCAACAACAATTCCAAAACAATTCTATAAATTCTTCTATAAAGCTATGACACTCCTGGCACGTTGAGCCTTGATGCTTATATAGTTGACACAGGTTCAAATCCGGCCTGGCAAATTTTCCATCTCTTACTTATAACATCCATCCTCTTTCTACTGTATCTGTTGAATAAAGGTGTTTGCAATCATTTTCATATGCTTTTTTTCGTATTCGTCATCCTTT